GGCTAGAGCAGTTCTCAAAATGATAGAACTAGAAAGTGTAGTTGAAATAGATATTTTTGTCTATCACCAGTAAGTTGTTTCTAACGGTTAATAACCAAAAACTGTTCACATTTTACAATTTCTGGATCAGAAGATTGATTGTTGTAAAATATGGGATTTTTTTAAGCAAAAGAGTGAATCGGCCAGCCCATGTTATCAGACTGTGAGTGTTTTTTGAACAATTACAGATTCCGTGAACACAGTTCTGTTAAGAACCTACTGGAGCAACCTCATTTTCTGATTTGAATCCTGGTGATACTTTTTTTCCCTCTTGGTTTTTAAAGCCAAAGCCTAATTGTGTTTATTCTGAAATAAGCTAGGCGTTATCATCCAGTATACATATATTATAGAAAAAGCATATATATATAAAATGACCACCTTCTCAAAGGTTGAAAAAGAATAAGTTAAATAAGAAAATGATGAGGATAGGGAAAGTTTTAAAAATATTTTTAAAAAATGCCAATACTTGCAATTCCAAAAAAAGTTTGGGATTTTGTCCCCCCCCCCCTTTAAAATTTATTTTTGTCCTGTGTTTTGGAAGAAGAGGAACGATAAAAATAATTTCTATTCCAGGAGTAACTAGTGAGGATGTCTTAACATGTTGAATGTGTAGAACAGAATGAGTGGCATAAACAAAAATTGTAAAACATGGATATCAGTCAGTATTTTTCCCACTTAAGCATTGGGAAAGCTCAAAAGGATTGAGTTTAATTATATTTTTGGAAAAGCAGATGTATGCTGATAGAGTTATTAGTGGCCCAAAAATGGTGAGGGCGGTGAGTGATTTGAATAGAAACTTTACAAAACAATCTGATGCATTCAGATAGAATTAATTGAACAGTAATGTATTTTAGTATCCTGAACATTCTCATAAATCCAGGTATTAAAAAATGTGCTCCCCTCCCTTACCAGTTATACATACACTTTGGATGGGTGTCTCTTTAGGATGTTTCATTACTTCAGCAGACAAAATAAGATGTCATTTAGCAAGAAACAGTAGACAAAAGAAGCACTCAACTCCGAGCATGACAATAGGTGTTTTATTCGGCTGAGTCCTGAGCTGTGCCTGAGAGTAAGTGCCTAAAGGAGAAGGAAGTGGGGGCTACTTTTGGCAAAGCAGCAGAATAATTAAAGCACTTGACAACGAAGTGGAAGGTATGAGGTTCTGTCTCTCTGACCGGAAGAGTTTGAGCTTTCTATGAAAATGGCCTATTATGCCTGGCTATGTAATAACTGGGGGCTCATGTCTTGTCTAATCCTGCCCCCTAAACCTAGACTAATATGGTAAAGAATGCAAGATTGCTAGAGATAGACTTTGTTTGTGGTAGACTGTGTGTGGTAAGCATGAGCGATCCTGATCATGTAGCCTAGAGAAGTCTTCCTGGGGAAGATAGCTTTGCGTTTCCGATTTCTGCTTTAGATGTTATTTATGTGTTTTTATAGACTTCTAATTGCAAAAGGCATATTCAGGATGTAGAGCAGGAAGCAAAATCCTGGGACATTTCCTTCCCTCTCTGAAAGGATGATGGAGGCATTTTATCACTGTGTTATATAGTCGAAATCCCTCTCAACCAGAGAAAACATGGGAAGTAAAGGCTGCTTGTGTGCTAGTAGCTCATTATTCCATCAGTGAGACAGAGAGTTGTCATGCATTCCCAGTTTGGCTGTATGTGCCCTTGCTTTCCTCTTTGTAGCAAGAATGAATAGTCTTTGGATGTTTAGGGAAAAGATGATGGTGGTTTGCTTGCTTTTCCGTTTCCCTTTGCTGTTTGGTCCTTACGGTGAAGCTGAATATTCCTGACCTTCCTCAAGTTTTGATAACAGTTTTGTGGAAGAGTATTCAGACCTTCTTGAGTTCTCCAGAGATGGAGATTCCATAGCCTCTGTAGGCAGCCTGTTCCAGTGCTTAACCACACTCGGTGTGAAAAACTTCTTCCTTATGCTTTCCTCAGAGAGAGCTGCTGTGCTTCTACCTCTTTTGCTTCCTCTGTTCTTGTGCGTTTGTCCTGCCCCTGGCTGACTTTCCTCCTCCATCACTGAGTGGAAACACAGGTGAGCTCAGTGTTGCTCTCTGATTGGCAGTTGTATTTTTCTGCACCAGTAAAGTTTTGCATGAAATAACATTTAAGCAGCTATGTGTGTAGGGTCTCTTAGTCCTGGTGGGAGGTGGTGCTGCAATAGGCTTCTTTGATGTAGGCATTTGAGGGGTGGGGGGGTAGAGGAAGATGAGAGTGCTGCCACCTTCTCTCTGCTATACGTATTTATTGGACAGGTTGTAAATTTTCAGTAAGTCCAGATTATCTAGGATCTAAGGAGGATGCTGGAAACCAGTAGAGAAGGTCCCCTGTCCACGTTTCCCTGAGCATTTGTTGAGCCCTTGTTCAGAAAGTGCGTTAGAGCTGTAGTACTTCGTTGCTTCGTGATACAGATACCGCTTTCCTTCTCGGGAAGGATTAAAGTGTGTTACTGTCCACAGCTGTCCTGGATATACACTATATATATTTTAGAAATCAAAATATATTAATCTTTGAAGTTACTGGCTATATATGTGTGTGTGTATATTTTATATATATATTTTATATATATATATTTTTGTTGGTAGCATTCAGTAAAAGTTCAGTTATTAGAGCGACTTTTGAAACTGATTTCCTGTAGTGAAAATTCTTTACTTGAGGCTTAAAATACCTAAATTTTAGCTGGCTTCGTAAGTTGGGTTTTCTTTTTTTTTTTTTTGGATATGTCTCTGGTATATCTTGTATATTTCTATAATAATTTTCAGTTATAAATAAGTATGACTAGAGGGCAAATTTAAGTCTGTAGGAAGTAAAAGCTTTGTCATTTGTTTGTGAATACTAACTGAAGAATGGTCTTTCAGCTTTTTGGCTTGTCACTTTTCTACTAGTTTAATGGCCTTTTTAGATGAATGGTATTTCTATTTCAGTGAAAATTTTTTACTGAGAGGAGATTTCAAGATAAATTTTCACCATTAACACCATGCTAACATCAGTATGGTATGACTCTGACTCAAGGCAGTTTGCAAGTTTTAAAAAAAAAAGTCCGTATAAACACTTATTCCCTGAAGATAATTTAAGTACAGGGGAGAAGAAAAAAGCCTGAGGTTTTTATAGTGTGTATTTTTAAGTGCATCTGAGAATGATGATTGTAAAATGGTCTGTTGGAAGCATTTTTAAAAGCAGCTCAAGTTGGAAGCGTATATTCTCTTCCCTCTTCTTTTATTGCTACCTTATGCATATTTGTATGTGGAAAACTTCTACCACATACAATAAAATGAAGAAGCAGCACAGATGCTGTGTTTAGTTGCAGACAAAATACCGAAATCGTATGATATATGTTACCAGGCTGTGAATGTTGACTGTAAGTTGTGTGAGCGTACTTTTCATTTTCTGTGCAAATGAGAAATATCAATTTAGTAAACAGGAAAAAAAAATCTATTGATTGGAAGCCACTAGAAAATACTTCCTTTTTTAAGAAAAGGATGAAAAGCATTTTTTTTCCAAGAAACAAGAGTAAAGCAAGCCTTAATTCTTTGCTGCACCATACCCAATTCCAGATACTGAATACTTTTCCAGAGTCTGAACAATACTTACTGTAAGTAAATACAGCTTTATATTGAGCTCGGTTTAGGAGCCAAAATGCAGTTGTATGAAGAAGTCGACCTTTTAGATTCAGTAGAGCAATTAAAACAAAACCAGAAAACACAAGATGAAAATAAAAACCCAAAAAGGTCTGTGTTGGGGTTGTAGGTCTTTACATAATAGGATGTATTGGCACAATGATAATCTTTCTGTTTTATCTAATCTAATAATCTGTTAGATTACCTAATCTATTTAAGACTGTTATTTTATATCCTTAATAGTCACATATAAGCAAGACAGCCTGGGTGGGGGAAAAGAGAATTCTTTTTAAGGTGTGTAGAAGGTTTTGTGACAAAAAGATTATACACCACAGACTTGGAATAGTTAGTATTCCTCTTGGGAAAGTACAGAACTCATCCTAAATGGTTAGCCACACAACGTTTGCTTTAGGCTGTGGTAGCGTAGCTCTCTACTGTGTGATGTTACTCATGTAATAAAATTACTAGTATCGGTGCATTATTCTGTTTTGTTAGCTCTAAAGCAGTTTGTGCTAGGTTTAGCCTAAGGTAGAATATGGACAGTTTTTACCCATGCTGTAAATTGTCCTCCAGTGGAACAAATTGGCAGCTCTTAGAATCTAAAGTTTCTAACAAAGCCTGAAATTAGTAGATTTTTCTGAATCGTTTTTCCCCCTCATATCAGAACTCGGACGAATAGGAACTTTTACTCCTTGATCTTGTTGATGAGATGGTAAGTATATTGGGATCATCAGTGAACGCTTAGTTAATGCCTGAGAATGGGACTGTTGATATGGATATGAAAAAATAAGCCTGTCATATCAGGAAAATTTTAAGAGATTTGATAGAGCTTCCTTTGGTAGGAGGAAGACTCTGTAGAAAGAATACAGGAATCTAGTCAAATTAGGATGACTTCTCTAAAGAGAAATTGTACCTCAAAGTCTTACATTGTGACAATGCTTGCATGAGTACTAGTTTGTTCTTATGGTATTTTCCCCTTTGCAGGAACTTGCATAATTTGTAGGTGTTGACTGTATGAATCCAAGAAATTTAAAGCAATAGTCCGTTTTGTTTATGTGTCACTTTGTATAAATCATCACCATTTGCATTTCATGGAGTATTATTTGTATGAATCCACAGAATAAACTTAATGTGTTACAGCTCATCTTAACTTTGGATAATATAAAATGAAATTCATCTTTCAGTAATTTATGTCTGTAATAGTCTAAACAGTTAAAATAGTCCATGGGAAAAAAAAATGTTGTAAAAGGTTCTTTGTCCTATAATTGAAATGTCCTTTGAGCTTCTAGAAGGCATTAAAATTAAATACAATTATAACTTTTTGTAGGTTGGGCTCATGTGGTTTGTGCTCTGTACATTCCCGAGGTGCAGTTTGCAAATGTTTCTACAATGGAACCTATCGTGTTGCAGTCTGTTCCTCATGATCGTTATAATAAGGTATAATTATGTGTGTTTGTCTATATATAATTTATTTTAAAATTTGTGAGCTTTAATAATGTAAAAACTATACTTTTTGGAATGCATTTTATATTAAATTCATAAATGCCTCTGTAATGCTGTTTCTTTTATGTCTTTATGATAAATTCAAGATTTAAGGCAATATTATTGAACTTTAAAGTATTTGCAATGTCTTACTAGTTTTTTTTAGGAGTAGGAATTATCTTGTTAATTAAAATATAGCATGATCTTTGAATATTAGTATATTTTGAAAAGAATGTGAAATATTTCCATGGGTAAAAGTATTATTACAGCATAGGTTAAATATTATTGTTAATTGCCACTATGTCCTTCTACTGTAAGTATAGATGTGATGTTATAAACACTTTTTTGGGGAAGAGAAGCTATGCTAATAAGGCAAAATCTTGCAGACTTCTATCTTTGAATGTCGTATTCACTTCAATGGGATTATTTGCGAACAGAAGAACTGCTCCTAAATAAGTGTCAGTGAGATGGCATGTTTTATGAAGTGTGGCAAGGCTAACAACAACAAAAAATAATGTAAATGTAAAATATTTTGCGTGTACTGTACTGATGGTTACACTTTCCTACTTGTCTCTGTCTCTTCACTAGACTTAACTACCTTCTCCTTTGTATTTTTTCTAGTTTTCCTTCTGTAGGCAGCAAACTCTCCGAATTTCTGATTAGTGTTATTACGCATACTCTTCTTGCGTTGTTGTTTTTACCTTGATTCTCTTGTGCTTTATTTTATGGTGGTTTGTGGACTTTGGAACAAAAGAGAGAATAGGTTATATTAGAAAACAAAAAAAGACATGCATCACCTCTGGCCTCCATCCCTTTCCGCAGGGAAAGCAGTCCTGTTTGAGGTGTCTGTCTCCTTCCATTGTTGCTTCTTTTCCTGGATTTATATCTTGGATGATTTTTTTTCTCCTCAGAAACATCCACATGATGCTTCTGCTACTTGTTTTCCTGTCGTCGTGGGTGCGGGTGTTCTCCCCGCCACAAGCTTTGGTCTTTTCACCATTTGTTAATCGCTGTTCCGTGTGGTTTTGCCCTTCTTACCGGTGTGTCAGAAAAGCCACGAGTTAAAGCTAGGTTCCCCTCATGCTGTCTCATCAGGTACTGCCTGAGTATCTGCATCGCTTTCTCAATATAGGTTTTCTTCTTTGTTGGCAAAAACAAGCAATGATGAGATCAAGTGCAGAACTAATAACACTTTTGGGCTTGTACACAAAGCGGCACAATTTTGCTGTGAAAGGTGAATTTATTTTATCCTTTCTCCTTAACTTTGGGCCCATAGCACATTTGTTTTCTTTTTGCTAAGCAGTAATCAGTGCTTTTTTTTTTTTTTATTTGTAGTGGTCCTTCTGTAATGTACTTCCAAAACATTTAATAAGTTTTTAAATTTTGTCTTATCTGGCTCTATTTCAATTGATATTGATTCATAGGGGATGAGTAAAACCTTGTAAATGCAAAAAATTTACCTTCTATCTTTTAATATTACTTGTTCTCAAAGTCCAGGGTTGGTTTACCAGTCCTTAACTACTTTTTATTACAATTAAGTTGCTTTTTTTTCTTGAACAGTTATTTCTTCCAAATATGTGATGTATAATGTCTGTCTCCCCCATCCCCCCCCCCAACTAAAATTCCTATATTTGCGTTTGCTTGGTCTGTGTTTACTGTAACGTCTTTTTGTTTGCTTGTTAGATACTAGTGAAAGGTAGACCTTGTATAAAGTTCCTGATATTGTCTTCCTACTAGCTTTATATTTTCAACTTTTTCTGCTTATCTTTCCACCTATTTTCTGTGTTAACAGTCTACATAAAACTACTTTCATACTGGTCAGTGCAGTATATTTTAAAATATAATGGGACATAATGAGAAATTGCAGGCTGGTGGGGAGGCACAAACCTTGCAATTTTTTTGTTTTGATTTGTTCTCCATTTTTAAAGTACACCCAGGTTTTGCTGTCCTCATTTGGTTGTTTTGATGCAGGGATATACCACATGTGGACTTCAGGGGAATCAAATGTCTGTAGTGCAGTTGCTAGAGCAACCCTGCTAAAAACCGATTGAACTTCATACTCGACGGGGGTCTGGTTAGAGCAGCACAGAATTTGGGAGGGAATGGCTGGCAGAGGACTTTTCCAACTCTTTCGATTGCAGCCAGCGCTGAGTTTTGCGCTGCTGTAGCTAAGCTGCCACTAGCTCCTAAGTAGGCTGGCTGTGAGCTTGAACATGAAGCGCCTTGCATAGTTCCTGCAGCATGTCCAAAAAATGTAACTGGCCACAACCAGGAATGTGCAGAGAAAGAAAGAAAGAAAGACTACTTTAAGCTTATTTGATATGCCTGAACGCTGAACAGACTGAAACACTAGGAAGAAAATGAAATCAAGTCAGTTGTTCTAATAGACTATTCCTGAAGCAATTAAAATAATTTAGAAGGAATTGCCTATCAGTTAACAAAAAGGTCAGATATCCCCATATGTTTATGAGGTATTTTGTGTTACCTTTTTTCTCCAAGATCCCAAAAAAATCAAAACAACTACTAATTCCTTTTTTAGGCAGCCTGCAATAACTTTGTTATTTTTTCTCCCCGTTCAGTGTACATTGTGTTTATTTTAAAGATATATTACACTTTAAAAATCTGAAACGGTGTAGAAGCATTTAACTGTGGCTATCAATTTGTAATGCATGCTGTTCAGGAGGAAATTTAAAAAAAAAAATGTTTTAAAGGACTTTGCAACATGTACCTTTCCAAAAACAAATATTGCACATTTCGAATGAGTATATAATTAAGAAAAAAGTGCAATTAATTACCTTTTTAAAGAGGCTTAATGCCAACGTATTTCAGTCTGTCTGTCAAATTAGCACAACTCAGGTGGGAATGGGATGATTTTGAAAGAGATTTTATTTCCTGTGAAGTCCGAAGTAGTTCTGTGTATTTGACTGGTTACTATTAGAGGAATAACATATGGAAACAGGAAAAATCTAAGTCAGTGAAAATTACTGTGAAGAAGTATATATGCCATAGTCTTTAAAATATAATGACAGACCTCTTTGAGATTTACCAGGAGATCCTATTTAATTTACGTAGGATTTTGTCTGAGGTTGTTCATTTATTGAACATGCAAATTACTATTTGTTTGTAGTAATGCATTTATCTCGAGTGCAAGAAAAACAGCTGACACCAAAGCATAAGGCTTGTCAACACATAAGACGTTTGGCTGCTGGCTTCTTCAAATTTACCTGCTTCTGAGATGAAACCCCTCACATTATCGAATGAAGCCGCTGAATGACTTGATTAGTGAGCTGGCTAACAGGAAAGCTCTTCTTACACAGTTGCTTCCAAAAGGAATTGGACCAGTAGTTGTTCTCTTGTTAGGGAGATGTTATGCGTGGATAATCTCAATTTATTTTATTTGAGCTTTAGTTGTCCCTTTCAGGCTCTTCTGAAAGTGAGTGATAATTGGACATAATTACTGCTTTTTGGAACCTCTTCAGAGTTGATTAAAAAAGTAAATGCATTTCGAGTGTCTTGATCCACCTAGTATTAAGGGCAGCTGTTACACTCTTATTTCAGTATTTGCTGGAACAATGAGAAATTTCTGCTTAACTCAGAAGTTACAGTCGGAGTTAACTTCAAAATAAGCTGTTTCTCACATTACGTTTTGCTTTACAAGGTTTTTCTTGCCTTGTCTTCCCTTCTATCTTTGTTTCTGCAGAGATGGTTTAAATTTTGAATCTTTGAAGGAAAAATGTTAACAAACGGGTAAAGGCAGCTTTTCAAAGTATTGTGCAGTTAAAGGAACTTGCGTGTTGCTTGTGTTCTTTGAGTAGACTCTTCTGGCTGAGTCCGAAGCTTTATCTGATGCTGTACTTTCCAGCGAGTTTGGGAGAAGTCTAAGTGGTCCCTTCCCTTAGGAGTTCTGAAAAGCAATGCTGCTGCAGGTGGTGGGATGTAGAGCCAGTTTACACTTTGAAACCTCACACGGTTGAGGGGAGTGTAGCAATTGCATGGTCTTGCAAATGTATAAATGTCTTAAGTCTTCTACTGTATTAAAGAAGGATGAAGCTTCTTCAGGTTCTGTTTTATGTTTGTATGTCTAAGTGAAAATAGAGCGATGATAAAGTTTGGCTTTAGAGAGGACGTACAACCTGCATTGGAACAGGAGGCTAATGTTTTCTCTGGCCCTCTTTCTCACTTAGGATTAGGAAACGGGTCTTACACTTCTCACTGCTGTTATAGGAAGGATAGAGGTATATTGAGCTTGTTTCAAATTGGTAGGTAGTCTACAATGTTGCTTATAAACTTGTTCATGATGTAGCCAATCTGTTCCATTATTTTTACAATAAAGCTTTACCATAAATCATTTTAAGGGGTTCTGAAACACAGATCCTAAGTGCAGTATATAGCATTGGAGAAAAAAAAAAAAGCCTATATGGCTTTTATGTCAAGTGGCATGCTTATATTACTTCTCCTTCTGAGATTTAATGAAGAAAAAAAGATCTTGGAAAAACTGTTTTGAGTAACAGAACAGTCACTGGAGCTTGACTTCTATGGGGGTGTTTAACTTTTTCTTTTTATAGAGATACCTTACTTTTGAAGTTACTTACCCTTAATACAGTAACTCAGATGAGGTTGACAGGAGCAAGCAAGATCATGATCTGAAACTTAATGTGTTAGGTCATTGTATGGAAAACTGTCAAAAAAATGAATTGTCTTTACAATACTACCTCAATGTGCAAAAGGAGCAGGGCAAAGAACTGAGTAGGATTATCCCCCTTTCTGAGCCTTCAGATGTTAGGATACGGGGTATAGTTTTTAAGATGTATTAGCTATTGTGCTTAATGCTTTTTAAAGGTCTAGTGAAAATAGCACAAGCATGACACAGCTATCCTAGGGTCTGGCATGCTAACTATAATGCTTTTGTTAGCTATAATATGCTGATGCCTGATGTTAAAAACTGTTCTAAATACTTCTGTTAAAAGCCATTCTGATAGCAGAATTTCAGTAATTCTCATATCTTTCTAAGTAATGCTGTTTTTGCTCTTTTTTTTTTTTTAAATTTCACTAATGTTTTGGTCCATTTTTATTAAATTATGTTTTCTACCATCCATGGGCAATGTTCTGTTTGTTTATTTTTCATTCTACTTATTCTCTTTACATTACTTGAAGAGGTTGCCATACAATAGCAGCATGTCTGCCACAGGGTAAATTTAGGCAATTTTGAAACTAATAGAAGTTGTTTCTCTTTGCCTTCCCACCTAAGATCTTCTAATGGGTTTTCCATACAGGTAGTAATGTACTAAAGTTTTTCACTTTAAGCTTCTGTCTTATTTAAAAATAGACAACTGACTGCATCTACAAAGGAAGATATTTTCATTAAGAACCAAGTGTTAAATTGTTCCATTTTGTTTGTGCCATACATTGCATCTGGTATTATAAATGTGGTATGATAGAATTTCTCTAATTGGCGTTTCAGTAATTAGAACAGTAAAAAATGGAAAGAGATATAGTTTTACCTGATATTTTTCATGAAAATGTGGGCGAGTTATTGTAGTGATGTCTGCTATGAAGGAAGTTCTATGGAACCACAACTTTTCTTTTTTTATAAAAACATTGAATAATGAAAAAGATTTGGGTTTTTTTTTAATCTAAATTTTTTCATGTTAATTGAAAATACTTTCCAAAAGCTTATGAATAGCCACAGTATCCCAGTAAAAGAAGGAAATTGAGAGAAACGCTGTGAAAAGATTTTCAGGTCCTAGACAATTTTGTTTTTGTTTTAAGTTATTAAATTTTGAGCTTGAAATGGGTGTAGTATACTAACTTAAACTTTTTTTTTTTACAGAAGGTTCTTGCTAGACTAGTTTCTAAGATAATGTTTATGGGGCTGCCCAAGTCACCTTGAAGTTAAACACTATAATTAAATTAATATATTAGTACTGAAGCATACTGAGAGACCTCTGAAAATTATTTACAGGAAAAGTACAAATAAAATTAAGGTAGCAGTGTTTTAGATGTATAGAGGTCTGTGCGTGTATGCTGTATGGTGTCTTGTGCTATTAGGCACACAATCTAATTTAATATTTCTGAATGCAATTAATATAAGACTGGTGATATTAAATGAATATGTGAAAATGGTTGTGACCTAAAAAGACACAAAAACAAACTTGAAGGCAAGGAAAATCCTGAAGCTTAATATTATTCACCTTTGGATGTTTGGCTGTTTTGGCTAATTAAATAGTGGTATAGAATTGAAATAAGTTAATATTTGTACTGCTTTAGGGTTGATAGTGTTACATAGATCCTACCTAAATGGTTTGTTAGGTGATCTCCTTTTACAAACAAATGCAATTAGTTTTTTTTATAGATCTCATAAAATCCAACAGTTCTCATGCTAGAAAATCTCCTATGAGTAACACTAAATTTGTTTGTATGTTTTTTATCATGTTAAATATTTTCTCTTTAATAGACATGCTATATTTGTGATGAACAAGGCAGAGAAAGTAAAGCAGCCACTGGTGCTTGCATGACATGTAATAAACATGGATGTCGACAAGCTTTTCATGTAACCTGGTAAGTATATCTTATCATTTAGCATCCTTGAAATCACTTTCAAAAAGAAACAGCTGCATGTGATATTTATAAGGCATCTGTAGTAAAGTGGCTCTGTTTAGTAGCTTGTGTAGAATATCCAGCATATTAGAGTTTGCTAACAATACGGCCTGGAGCACAGACGTTGCTGTGAGCTGCAGAAGCTATCTGAAAGTGCCCCCTCATCGTGTATTAGTTGCTTTGCGGGCCTGTGAATATGCTCTGAGCCGAGCAATAGTAGAGTTATGAGTTGAAAGCTAGCCAATATGCCCGATACAAGGTTTAGTATTTTTTTTTTTCTTATATTCTTTTTCTTAGGGGATATTTTAAATAAATACAGGAATAAGAAGCAGCTGTTTGTTTACCTGCTAACTGATTTGATATTTGCTAAAAGTAAAATCAGTAAAAAAGCAAATCAGACCAGGGAACAAATTGCTTATTGAGACACACATGAAAGTGCAATAAAGTTATGGCCAAAATGTTTATGAGCCTGTACCAGGAGGGGTGTTTCACCTCACTAGATTTATCTAAATGGTAGCTGTCTAACCTAAACTATTAACCTAGGTTTCATCTATAGCTGCTGAATTAAAAACAGGCCACGTCTACCATCTGATTCGTAGCACTTTATGATATTTGGGTTTACTTGCATTCAGGAGATGCCTGTCCCTCTTTATGGACTTAGAGGCTGGATAATTAGATTAAACTGCATGTGTAACAGGTAGAAACAGAAGCAATCCCATCCCTGAGTTTCCTGGAGATTGTGTGTTCTTTTAGATTCAGATGAAGTCTTTTTGTAGGAAATTGCGATTTTATGCAGACTGTCTAGGTTCGTAGTCTTTGGTTTTGGCCATCTGTTTTACGAGTGCCCTAGCATGTTTCATCATTTGTCTGTGTGCCAGCTCAGTCAGGGAAATCATATTTGCTCATCTACTTAAATGTATTTTCTTCAGGGTAATCAAATGACATTTTGAATATCTTGTTCAGATCTTACAGGATTTGATTCTGGAGTCTAGATGCTAATTTCTTTACAACTCTGCATGTCCTCATTTACAGTGTCAGGGCCTCTCTGTGCAGGTTTTTCTTACACTCTGATATCTGGCAAGATGTTGAAATTTTAATTTTTCGTAAGCATCTAATTTTTCATTGGAAATGATCAATGTCGGGTTTGGTTTTATGGTGAAAATGGATTTGCTCCTGAGAACTTATACACCACGTAAAGAAGCTACTTATCAATGTGAAAAAATGTATGTATCTAAGGGTTTGAAGAAGAAAAAGTCCTTTTCATCTTGTCTTTCTTCCAAAAATCCTCTTTTAGTGAATGTCATAAAGAACCTATAAATATTTTCATTTTGAATATATTCTTATCGTTCATAATCTTGTCAATTTTTAGAATTTTTTGATTGATTGTGAACAGGTATCTGCTATCAGATAATGCCCAGCCAGAGAGTACTGTGACTGTTTGAGGATACTGAGAGGTTTCTGTAGCATTTATAAAATGGAGGGAATATGTGAAAGCTAGAAAAAATAGAGATCCGGCATGAGCTATATCAATTTTGAGTTAACAAAATCAATCTAGTAAGAACGACCTTGTGTGATGTGTGGGTGGTTTTTTTTTTTTTTTTTGGTCAAGCTTAGAATGGTAAATATTTGCGTAAAGAGATCATATTGCAAGTTTTTTTTTGTAGTCGGCCTCTGCTGTAGGTATGCATATATTTAGGAGAAAGTATTTCTGGATTGCCCAAGAACATAGTGTATAAATAAGAGGAAAGTGATTTTAAGTGACAATGAAAATAAGCTGGTATGTATGCTGTTCTTTCACTTAAATGCTTGCATCTTTTTGATTGTAGTATTGTATTACTATGCTAATGAAAGTGATGTACAAAATGAAACTGAATATTTGGGTTTCAGTGTCCAAGTTCAATACAGAAATTTGTCCAAGATTTCAATAAAGAAAATAAATCAAACTTTTACAAATGGTGGAGAGCAAATTTGACTTAAAAAAGGGAATAGAATAAGGTCGTGTTAGCCCAGACAAGGAAACTTGCAAGTCTTTTTCTTTCTAAAAGGAATTAACTTGCCACAGTCTGTGTTAAACCAATAAAATATGGTTTGATTTATGATCACACTCAAAGTTTTATTTAGGAAAAAACCAAAAAGTATTTGTCTTCGTAGAATAGAAAAGATGCATACAACTGTAGAACAATTTCATCTTATTCACAGGATCGTTTTGTTAAAAGCTATTGTTTCCATAAATAATTTCTGACTTGAGTTTGAGCTAAGAAACATAAATTACTTGATTTATTTATTTATGGGAGTAGCTGCATAGTAAAAGCAGACTTTTAAGCTATGCTTATGTGTAGGTGGCTTATAGGCCTGGTGCCCTTTTCATAGTTTGCGAATGAACCATGTATGTTTTTTACTGGACTGCAAAGGTTAATTAGGTGCTTGCATCCCTTTAAGTCTCTTGTGTCTTTGGAAATCTCTTCTATGAAATATAGATGTAAGTATCTGTATATAATCAGCTATGGTGTTTTGGTGTGAGTTAATGTAAAATTGCTTCTCTCGGGTGTTGTTTGGTTTGTTTTAGTGCCCAGTTTGCAGGACTTCTTTGTGAAGAAGAAGGCAATGGGGCAGATAATGTCCAATACTGTGGTTACTGTAAATACCATTTCAGTAAACTGGTAAGTATTTGTTAAATTCCATATGGCACTAATTTATATTTCATTAAAACAATGTTTTAATCACCATTATAGAAATGCTAGCTAAAAATGTATTATTTTTGTATAAGAGATTACTTTCTAAATGTGTGTTTCTTCCCCTGCCAGAAACATCATGTGTATTTAGGCTTTTTTTTTTTTTTTAAAGTCAGTCCTTTAAAATTAGCTGATAGCTGTAATATTTTCTTTTACCATTTGATTAGTTGGCTTCTAGGAATTTAGAATGCTTTGGGACAGTCCAGAAATATTTCTTTCTTTTGATCTCCTATATGTTGGAGAATAAAGAAGCCCTCTCTTCTATTCTTTTTTTACTGTTCTTCCTTTTGTTCCTCTTCTCACTGTGTAGCTAGTGGATATTCCCTACCTGTAAGTTCTGTGAAATGCGACCTCAAGGAAATGGCTTGAGGTTTGATGCAAAAACCTTCAAAACTTCTCGTTTGTTTCTGTAGGTTTTTGGATCAGACCTCTTGAGTATTTCATATCGCTTCTTAGATCACCAGGTTGACAGTGCAAAATAACTCTGTGTGTTTGTGTGCATGCATGTGTGGACTTGGACTTTTAAATTATGTAGGGTTAAATTGAGATACTACTGTAAGTATGCTTAAACTTGCTGAGTACTTGTTTTCACTGCTAAAAATGGTTGAATTCTTTGGGGTACCTTTTGAATAAGTTGCAATGAGGTAAACACACAGGGCAAATGAGCCATTTTAGCTTTCTAGAAGATAAGCTTGGTGAGATTAGCTCTGCACTCCTGTGAATATTGATGAGTTTGCTTCATGATAAAATGTAGCCCGTACTTAGCTTTTTATCTTGAACTGGGTGTGCAAAAAGAACAACAATACATTATCTAGCAGTGAAAGCAAGCTCTTACACTATTATACATTTCATGTGAATGCTCCAGTGCAGCTATGACTTGAACAGATGCATTTATTTTAAAAGTAAATTTAACAATAAAGAAATAGCTCCATATTCCCATTACGAAACTGCAGTGCTAAGAACAGTAAAGACTACCAAGATCATGTTAGCTTTCTAGTGTTCCTTTAAGGATATCATGACTGTCAATACCTGGTAAATACAGATAGTTAGTATTTATTACTAAGGATGCCGGGTGAGGTATATCTATTTTACCACTGAAAACTTTGGTTGATCAGATACTGACCTGAAGCATCCTTATAACGCTTCTTCAGTTATCATAGAGTAACTTAGACATTTTGGACATTGACCTAGCTTAAAGTGTGTGAGGTCTCAGACAAAGCTCTCAAATATTATGGAAATACAGGTAATTATGTCTGCCACTTGTAAATCCACGTGTGATCGTAACATTCGGTGTCCTATATTTTTTATTGTTTTTACAAATAAGTGTTGCAGACAGGCCACTTGAATGATAAATCATGGAGTCATAGAACAGCCTCCTCAAATGCATTTTGAAGCATGTGAGGGTGTAAGCACTGTGGTTTCACGTGATATTCACTTGAGTATCATCTTTTCTGTTTTATGTTATGAAAGCTTGAAAATGTGTTTAAGCATATTTTAACCTTTAAAAAGGTGGCATATCTCACTTTTGTGGAAAGCACATTTTGCAAAGTCATGAGGTGGTATAAAAGTCAATATAAGGGTAGGTTTTTTGTTTTGTTTTGGTATACAGTGGGTAGTCTTTTTAACTTTATTAGCGTCAGTTATTTGTCAGGTTTTCAGTTACTGAAATTTTTTTCCCCTCCAGCAGTAAGGCATTTTATCTGTTGAAATGCTTTATACTTTTTATTTATTCAAATGATTCCTTTTCTATATCCATAAATATATTTTCTCTTTTTAGAAAAAGAGCAAACGGGGATCTAATAGGTCATATGATCAAAGTTTAAGTGATTCTTCCTCTCACTCTCAGGATAAACATCATGAGAAGGAGAAAAAAGTAAGTGGATTTGTCGTTGCTAATTACGTGGCATATCTGCTTAATAGTAACACTTTTTGATAAACGTTTAACCTAGATCTTGCTGAAAAGCATGAAGGAAATCTTGTTCCTGAAGTACTGAAAAATAAAAAATACAGGTGATGAACTAGAGATACTAGTGTCCAATGAGAAAACATCTTTAGATGCATTTGTACATGCACCTTCTTTTACCTGTTTCTTTATCCTCAGTTTTGGGATATAGACAAACAGATTTGGGATAGCTGTTTCCATGGAGCTTCCTCAGTCTTAGTTTCACATCAGAGAATTTTTTGTAAAGTCTTTGTGACTAGATGGGGAAGAAAAAGTGGGTGGACGTTTTAGAAAATGCATCTCTTGACGTATTTTAGTGGTATTGGTGGTCAAGACTGCTATACTGGCAGAATACCTTATCATTCACCTGAGAGCCTTTCAGTGAGATTATAAGGAACATAGCTGATTCCTAATGTCTGTCTTTGGCTTATTTGTTCAGGACTTCATATATTTTTAAAAAGGAGTCTTAATTTTTACTTTCCATTTTTAATGTTGCCAGATTAATAGTTGTCTGTGGGGGTTTTGTCATCTAAATACATCACAATGAGATAACAGACAGTGGCACAATAATTCAAATCTACTTTGACTCCTTTTTAGTCTCCTTTCTAAGAATACATGTGAAATTGTTGTCATCTTATATGTCTAATTTATTCTGTGGGTGTGGGTGGACCTTGCTCTGAATAATACAAAAGCATAACATAAAAAATGACCAACATATTGACCAAATATGTATTAGGAAGGAGCTATTTTTTTTAGTCAAGGGAAACTTAATAGCAAACGGCAATCTTCAGACGTTCACTCTCCCTAACATTGAATCTGTTTTTAAGCTCACTTCCACCCTGGGTAGATGTTGCTCTTTGTTCTTGGATAACCTTTTAAAAAGTATCTTGAGATTTTGTTTTTGTCATAGGTAAATAGTTCCATAACCTTTTCTCTTCACCTAGTAATGCAGGATTGTGTGCATTGTGATGCAGTTGTAGTGTTATGTTTAAACGTATGTCTAAAAACAATAGAAGGATGGGGTTTTGGCTAATTTGTTTTTTCATAATGATGTACAGATAGAAACAGTCTTGAAATATAGACTACAGAATTACCTGCAAGTTAAAATCATACTGACATTTGCCTTGTTTTTTTAAGTTTTTGTTTTGTTTTTTTGATCACTACTGTATACTACTGTATTGCAAGCCATGTTTTATCAAAATACATGCATTGAGTTTTACTCACGCTGACCAAAGTCTGACATTGAATTTGAAGAAACTTGATGCTTATGAATTGCAAGTGTAAGGCTCAGTTTTGGTCTTGTATCTCTGAGTCGTGCAAAACACTTTTTTTAAAGTGGCTTTGACTGGTGGTATTATGCTGCTTCAAGTCATAATACCTGTAAAATCTTCAGGGAATGCTTGGAAGGCCATTCTTACAATGTATGTTCAATCAATATATCCAGTAGTTTTTCCTGATGGCTGTTCAGCTTCTCCTACTCTTAAAGTGTCTTGATGTGGATCTTCTAGGCCTAATTAGTGGTGGTGTTTGCACTTGCAAGCCCTGACCTTTTGTCTGTGACTCAGGGAGGTGCTAAAAATAGGATATTCAAGTTTTTTCTCAGTTTCATGAACTGGAACATAAGAAACCCAAAGATCTCACGGTCTGTAACGCCAAATGGAGCGATGCAGTTTGAGGCAATTACCTATTATCTGACTTTCAGAGGTTCTCCTGGTGTGTTAGAGCACGTTCATTTACCAGTTTTAGTCTGCTTTATATATTGCATAATAATGAAGCTCTGTTCTGTTTGAGACCACAGATTAGTGACAAAAGTTGCAATTTCCTAGAGTTATTAATAACCTAACTCTTCTTAGCTACAGGTTGTTTGTCTTTGATTTTTATCTTTCATAGTCTATAGTTAAAAGAATGGTCTGTGCTCTACAGACAGTCTTCAGTCAGTAAACCATGTGTGGTATGGATGCTCATTCTTTTGTTGAAGTTGATTACCTTCTGCATGTGACGACTCATTTGATATATTGTGCAGATTGTAGTCTGCTACTGCATATCTTGTTTCTTTGTGATTTAGTTCTTGTGAAACCTTGGGAAAATACAGACTGCTGCTTTTAAAGGACGTAGTCCCAGAGGAAAAATGAATGATCATGTAGTTCTTGGATTGCTGAAGAGAGTTGATTATGTAAGAAAAAGGCCCATGGCTGCTATTTTTTTTTTCTTCCCTCCAGTTTTTAAAAGTATTTTTGATATTAAAAATAGAAGGGAAAAATACCTTCATTGAAAAGCTGCTGAACTGGAGTATAGCATACAAAACTAAGAGACTAATGGCAATAATCCTTCAAGAGGTCTGTTAGTCTTCAGCGTGTAGGATTTAGAGTAGTGGTCCAATTGTATTGTTTAGTGTAGGCAAAAAAGTGTTCTGATACTAGCCTGTGAATGAGATTCAATGGTCAGTAACGCAATTACATGCTACTCTTTGTTTATTTGTACTAGACAGCAAAACTTAGATCAGTAAAACAGAAGTTTGCATATTTTTCTTCCACTGGCTTCTGTGGCGTGTGAATGTGCTTGATTTTTACAAGTAAGTTGATGTTGTTTTATTTCTTTCTCCTCCCAGATGAGCTCTTGGCACTGGAAATTCTGTTCTGGCCCTGACATTGCCAATAAATAAAAATGCTGCCCTTAAAATTTTATCATTGTGTTGGTTTTCCACCTTTCATATAGTTGTGGTTGTAATAGGGATAAAAACTATCTGGCCCCACAAACTGGGGCCAGATTCTGCCCTACGGTAACTATGTGTACCTCTATTTGAAGTCCTAAATAGCGAAAGGATTCATTTTTATGTAAAGCGATTTTTCTTAATGTCTAGTCCTATCGGAACTTAAACAACATATGAAGAAATGTAGGTACCAAGCATTGATTAAAATATTGTTTGTTCATTTCTAAGAGCTATAATTCAAAACGAAATGTACCTTCAAATGCAAGATTTAAAATATTATTCTCTATTTTCAGAGCATTTATTCTGTGAACTTCAGACTCCTAGAGAGAGGTTTGGTAAAATTCAGTAGATTGACACTTAAAAGATTTTGACTTGAAAACATGGCTCACCTGTTTATCTCCAGAGTGTGAAAATTGCCAAATGCTTGCTTTGGCCAAACTATTCGATTATAAATTAATATTCACAATTTGGGGAAAACATATTTCTCCATTATGTACCTGTCAGGTAAGGTTCCAGGCTCATTTTAATTTTGAAAGGGAGTTCACGGAGTAACGGCTGACTTGCTCTCTAAAAAGAACTTTTGATAATTCTGAAAGGCCTTCAGAATAACTTGCTTTTCTGGAAGGTAAATATTTATTCTGATAACCTTTTCTTGTATAAGGTTAGCAATACTATTTTTCTGTTACAAATTGAAAAAAGTTTTCTGTTATGTAAAATTGAAACAGTAGTTTTATACAGGAACCAAAATTGTTGGTTACACATTTCATTCTAGACAGTTTGTTAAAACTTTGTATCTTGGTGTTAGATAATCTGTCAGAGGGATTTGGAGGCCCACTGTTCTAAATTTTTTTTTTATCGAGAATTTAATTCTTGTTGCAGTTAACAATCAGTAGCGAGCTGCATACGTTATGCCCTTGATGTTTGTATTAAGTACGTTTGATAGTTGAAATGAACTGTAAGGTTCTGTGTACAGAGAGGCCTTGAGAATTGGAAGTTATCTCACTAGGTGATAAATATTTTGCCCCCTTGTAAGCTAACAATTTCTAAATAGTCTGGTCAGCTGCAGAAGGTGGCGTTTGAACTGCTGAAAGAATATTAATGCCTCAAAAGAGGTGAGAACAGCTAGTATCCTGAAGAAAGAATCGTTGAAACTGCCCCCAAAATAAAGTTTTTTGGGGAGAGCAGGAAGCAAGATTTAAATCTGAATGGAACTGCAGGAAAAGAAGAAAGGGTTATGTTATTAAAACAAGTATGCTTATGTCTTCTCCTTTGAATGTAACCTGAGGGTGAATTGTAGAATAATTCAGGTGAGAAGGGACCTCAGGAGGTCCCTAAGTCATTGTCCTCCTCCAAGGCAAGTGAGCTGTGAGATAAGACCAGGTGAATCAGGGCTTTATCCAAACTGGTCTTGAAAGCCTGCAAGGATGGAGACTGCATGACTTCTCTGGGCAACTTGTTTCTTTGGTTGATAGGGCTTGTGGTGCAAATGTTTCTTCTCTTATCCAGTTGAACCTGTCTTGTTTCAGTTTATATCCAGTGTAAATGTAGTAGCGTAGTAGAATAGGGATTCTGGATATTGGACTCAGGTACGTCAGGTCGGCTTATTCAACTCTTCATATGGACAGAAAGAGGCTGTCTCGGGGCTAATTTCAGAAGGTGACCAAGTGGCTTTCATTTCACATATTTATATATTTATGCCTGCTTTTCATTTCTTTCAGTTGAGTCTTTAGTAGACCTTTGTAATTAGATACTTCTCTGTAACTATGATTCCTGTTTTGGATTTCAGAAGTAGTTTTGTTTGCTTTTACTGAATCATCCTTTCCTTAACCTAAGTTATAATTAAAAATCAAGGCATTTTTGACATGGTTTGGTGAATCTTATAACTGAGGTTCCAGACAATTACAAAATAAAGCCCAGCACCAAAGCCTCCTTTAAATACAAGCAGCCCTGTTGTTTAGCTTTATGCAAACTAAGGTTGTCTTGAGAGCTGGTAGCAGAAATGCAAGAGGTGCTACCCAGTGGCTGGAATTAGACAGCAAAATATATTTGGCTTGCAAAAGGTAATATGAAGCTCTCTTCAACTCTTGAAGGAATTTGTAGCATCCAGTAAACCTTACTGTTGGACCATTTTGTTTTAAAGAAAAGCTGTAGGAAAGTAGGAGCTTATTATCATTATTTTTTAATCTTCTAAGAAACTCTGTCTGGGTACTTTGAAACTGCT